ACAGCAGAGAAAAGCAGAATGCACTCTTGGAAGCACTCATCCCCGCACAGACACACACACTTGCACACACACAGGCACTCATATGCATAGGTGCACATGCACATGCAAAGAAATATACACTCACACACACAGTAACACACCTGGACTCACATAGACACAAAAAATATGTACTTAAACAACCAGAGAGAGACACACACACTCAATGTCACACAGAGACACATATACACCAATACACACAATCACAGGTATATACACACACAGGCACAATCACATACACACACACACAGACACACACACTCACTCACACACAGTAACATGCACAAACACATCCAGACACTCACACACACACCCAGATACTCACACACACAAAGAGACACAATCTACACAAATACAACATGGACAGTGTGCTATAACTGATACTTGGGCACTCAGCAGCATTTAGCTGATATTTGAATTCACAGCAGTGTGCAACGTGTGTGTTGTCTACAGTAATACAACACCTACAGTAATATAATATCCACACTGTGAGATAACTAATATATGAACACTCCACAGTGTACAAAGTGTGTACTGTCTACAGTGATACAATATCTGCAGTATGCAACAACTGAGATTTGGACAGTTAGCAGTGTGCACCCTGTGTATTGTCTACAGTAATGCACTGTCTACAGTGTGGGAGACTGATATTTAAACTTTCAGCTGAGTGCAGCCTGTGTATAGAACACACGAGCACACAAAGAGCTGCTGGATCCTTTCCAGTCTTTACCATGGTGCATTGCAGCCATTGTTCAACTCTGAGAGACTGAATGGAGCCTTTGGCCCATGGGGCCCGTGTTAGAAGCAAATATTTATTGGACCAGTTGACTGTCCAAAATAATCAGAGGTTGTTTCCCCTCACATCCCTGAAATGGAAATATTTATGTCAATTGTATCCACCTCCAGGCTTTTGGCCTGCTCTTGTATCCCTGAGGAAAGATTAGTCTCCAACTGACTCTTACCTACTGGGTTACTCTTAAAGACTTAACAGTAACAGGCAAGCTAACGACGGCTCTTGTGGTGCCAGGGAAGTGTCCCTTTCTTTGATCCAGAAGGGCTAAGTTCATCTCCCATATCTCCTCATCAGACCTAGGAAGCACAACATCAACTTTAAAATGGTAGCAGTTTGTTCTTCAGAATTAAGAAATGCTGCTGTACATTGAGGCCATCATTCGCATGAGGGAAAGCAGCAGCAGTCTGTGTTTAGATGCAATTCTGCAAAGGATGATGCATTTGGATCTTTGAAAGAGGCTGGGCGATTATGCGTATACCGTCACTTCTCTTTTCCTGATGGTCATACTGTGACTTTCCCTTCCGAGTACATATCTACTTCCAACGCTGCATAGTATGCCTGAGTGAGTTTCCAGCTCCCCTTTGCAAAACAGGTTACAGTTACCCAATCTTGAAAGCAATTTTCCTCATTCTCCAACTCAGCCTTCTCCCAATTCCCATCAGTATGCCTCTACAGGTGACTGACCTTCCCTCAAACTCAAACATTTCTTGGAAGCAACCTCGAGATTTACCCCAAGTACTCTGGAGCCAATAACTACCCCTCGACCACACCAGCCAATACTTTGTTGCTAACTTTGGAGGCTGGCTGCAGGCAAATTGGCTGCCGTGTCTTCCCTATTAAAACAGTGACAGCACTCAATAGTCATGACATGTCTGTGCAACACTCTGAGATGTCTTGGAATTCTGGAAAGTGCTGTCAGTTATTTCATTTCATTCTGGATATTTCCTGCCATGTCCCTTCTCAGCACCCCATTCTGCTTTTCTCTGTCTCTCTCCCTTTTTGTCTCTATCTCGTTTCCTCTCCCTGTTTATATTTCCTCTCCCTGACTCTCTTTCTGAATCCCTCTCTCCGAATCCCTCTCTCCTTCTCCCTCCCTCTGCTTTCTCCCTCCCGAATATTTCCCACAATCTCTCCTTTTCTGTTTCTCAATTAGTTTCCCCGGCTCTATTTTCCCTATTCCTATGTATCACCATCTGCAAACAGTCTTTCAACTTTCCATTTTCATACCATTGCTGCTGCATCATGTTGGGGTTGGGTAGCACAGTTGGCTGGGTGGTTGGGTTGCAATGCAGAGTGATGCCAACAATGAAGGTTCAATTCCTGTACTAGCTGAGGTAAAGATCAAAAAAGATACGACAAGGGGTTGGCTGCTCAGCCTTTCGCAGGATAATGGCTATTCCAACATCCCACACATCCACTTTCCTACCCTTTCTCTGTAACCTTTGATTCCCTGTCTGATCAAGAACCTAGCTATCTCAGCCTTAAATATTCACAAGGATTCTGACCTCCAGAGATCTCTGTGACATAGAGTTCCAAATATTCACAACCTCTGAGAGAAGAAATTTCTTTTCATCTCAGTCGTAAATGAGAGTTCCTTTATTCAGATCCTCTGGTCCTTGACTCCCCCACAACAGGAAACATCCTTTCTGCACTTACCTTGTCAAGCCCCTGAAGAATCCTGTATATTTCATGTGAGATCACCTTTCATGCTTCTAAATTCCAGTGAATAGAGTCCAAACCACTTTAGTCTTTGCCCATAAGACAATCCATTCAAACTAGGAATCTGCCTAGTATACCTCCTCTGAACTCCCTCTAATGAAATGATGTGTTTCATTGAACTAAAACTGCTCATAGTGTTCCAGATGTGGTCTCACCAGCACCTTGTACAGTTACAGTTAGACTTCCCTCCTCTTATACTCCAAGCCTTTTGAAATAAAGGACAACATTCCGTTAGCCTTCCAGATTCCCTGGTGTCCCTGTGTGCTAGTTTTGTGGGTTTCATGCACAAGCTCCCCCCTCTCAAGTCCATTTGTCTTGCAGCTGTCTCCACTTAAATACTACTGTTCTTTTGTTCTCTCTTCCAAGATGAACAACTTCATTTCTTCCCACATTATACTCCAATTACTGTTTACCCATTGATTAAATTGTCAATATCTCTCTATAAACTGCTTGTATCCCCCTTGCAACCTGCCTTTCCACAAAGCATTCAGCATCTCATTGTGTGCTCGTATGTTCAATACATAGGCTGCACTCAGCTGAATGTTCAATTATCAGTCTCCCAAATGTAGATAGTGCATTACTACAAACAATGTACAGGCCACACACTGCTAATGGTCCAAATATCAGTTGCCCCACACTGTGGATATTTTATCACTGCAGACAGTGCACACTTGGTGCACTGCAGAGCGTCCATATATTAGTTATTTCACACTGTAGATCTTGTATTACTGTGGACAACACACATGTTGCACACTGCTGAGTATCAAAGTACCAGCCGTCCCACATAGTAGCCCTTGTATTGCTGAAGACTATCCAGCAGTTAAATGCTGCTGAGGGCCCAAATATCAGTTATAGCACACGATCAATATTGTATTAGTGTAGATTGTGTCTGTTTGTGTGTATGAGTGCTTGGGTGTGTTTGTGCACGTTACTGTGTGTATGAGTATGTATGTCTGTGATTGTGTAAGTTAGTGTGAATATTGTCTGTGTGTGTCTGTATGACAGTGAGAGTGTGGTGAGTGTGTCTCTATCTGGTTGTTTAAGCACATATTTGTGTGTCTGTGTGAGTCCACATATGTTACTGTCTGTGAGTGTGCATATCTATGTGTGCATGAGATTGTGTGTGTAAATGTGTGTCTGCACATGTGTCACTGTGTGTGCGAGTGTGTGTGTGTGTACTCATGTGTGTGTATGTTTCTGTGTATCTGAATGCATATGTATGTCTGGCTGTGTGAGTCTGCATGTTTTACTGTGCATGTGTGACTTTGTGTGTGAATGTGTGTATCTGTGTATGTGTGCACGTCAGAGTGTTTCAAAGTGTGTTGATGTGAGTTTGTTATTGTGTCTGTCTGAGTGTATGCATTACTGTTTGAATCATAAGTGAAATGACTCTGTCATGTCTGCACCACAGATTCTGTCCTTTTTTTTATTCATTTGCGGGATGTGGGCATCGCTGGCTGGCTAGCATTTCATGCCCATCCCTAGTTGCCATTGAGAAGGTGGTGGTGAGCTGAGTTTTTGAACCGCTGCAGTCCTCCTGCTGTGGGTTGACCCACCATGCGATTTGGGAGGGAATTCCAGGATTTTGACCCAGCAACCGTGAAGGAACGGTGATATATTTCCAAGTCAGGATGGTGAGTGACTTGGAGGGGAACTTGAAGGTGGTAGTGTTCCCATGTATTTGCTGCCCTTGTCCTTCTCGATGGAAGCAGCCGTGGGTTTGGAAGGTGATATCTGAGGATCTTTGGTGAATTTCTGCAGTGTATTTTGTAGATAGTACACACTGCTGCTACTGAGCGTCGGTGATGGAGGGAGTGAATGCTTGTGGATGTAGTGCCAATCAAGCGGGCTGCTTTGTCCTGGATGGTGTCAAGCTTCTTGAGTGTTGTTGGGGCTACACTTATCCAGGCAAGTGGGGAGTATTCCATCACACTCCTGACTTGTGTTTTGTAGATGGTGGACAGGCTTTGAGGAGTCAGGAGGTGAGTTAATTGCCACAGTATTCCCAGCTTCTGGCCTGCACTTGTAGCCACTGTATTAATGTGGTGAGTCCAGTTGAGTTTTTGATCAATGGTAACCCCCAGGATGTTGATATTGGGGGATTCAGTGATGGTGACACCATTGAATGTCAAAGGGCGGTGGATAGATTGTGTCTTATTGGTGATGGTCATAGCCTGGCATTTGTGCGGCGTGAATGTGACTTGCTGTGTTGTGGTTTTTGCAATTATTAACTGCAAGATTGTCTGTATTATCATATCTCATCCTCCAGGTAGTTCACAGTGCAGCAGAAAATCAGTGGAGGATAAGAACTGTCGTATTCTTAGTTCTTGGGTTCTCGGTGATGGTGCAGACAGGTACTGCTGATGAAGTAGTGAAACAACATCTTTCCTTTAAAGGTGAGTCCATATCTTTTCAAACAGCCTTCACAAACATTCAGAATGGCAGATTGAAATCATTCATCCCCCTGAAGACCAGGTTCCATTCTGCTGGCTTTAGCTGACAAGAGCCTAAAATGCACAATATGCACAATAATCATTCTTGGGATGCAAAGCCAACATTTATTGCCCAACCCTTATTGCTAAGAGGGCATTTAGGAGTAAACTATATTACTTTGAATCCGGAACCACATGTAAATCAGTCCAGGTAAGGACGGCACATTTCCTTCCCTAAAGGACATTATTTCATTCCAAATTTCATCATTTGCCATGATGAGATTCAAAGGTGGGTCCTCAGAACATGATCTGGGTGGTCCTGGATGTGAGTCTAGTTATAGTCTCACAGTCCAGCATCCAGTCACTGTGCATTTGGTGAACCATTGCAGACGTTTACCACGAGTGAGCAATTCACTTCCATTCTAAAACATTTTGTCTGTTTCTTCTCCCTTGAAATAAATACATGGCAGATTATATCCTTTAAAACATTCCCATTTCAATAGATATTCATCAATGACATATCCTTGATTACATCATACCCTATTTACTGTAAAGATTCTATTCCATTTTCCCAGTTTCTCCGTCTCTGTCGCATCTATTCTGATGATGCCAACTTCGGCATGAGAATCTCTGAAATGCCCACCTTCTCCCTCAACCAAGGATTGTCGACAGGGCTCCCAACCGGGTCCGATTTATCTCCTGCACTTCTTCCTTCAACCCCTCTCTTCCCTCCCACAACAGCAATAGTTTTCCCCTTCTTCTCACCCACCATCCCACCAGCATCCACATGCAGAGGATCATTTGCATTTTTTCTGTGACCTCCAGGGAGATGCCACCACCAGACACATATTCCCCTCCCCTCCTTTGTCAAACTTCTGCAAGGACTGTTCCCTTTGGGATAACCTGGTACACTCCTCCTTCACTCCTAACACCCTACCTACCACCCTCCTGCCGCTCCCCCCCCCCCCCCCCCCCCCCCCATGGCACCTTCCCTTGCAACAGCAGAAGGTGTAACACTTGTCTGTTTATTTGCTCCCTTCTCAGTATCCATGGGCCCAAACACACCTTCCAGTGAAGCAGTGCTTTAACTGTACTCCACTCAATCTATTCTACTGCATTCTCTGCTCAGAATGTGGTCTTGTCTATACTGGGGAAACAAAGAGTTGACTGGTAGAGTCCTTCACAGAACGCCTACTTTCTGTTTGCAAAAAAGACCTGCGCTCCCAGTTGCCTGACACTTCAATACACTACCTTGCTCCCTGGTCAACATATTTGTCTCAGGCTTGCTGCAGTGCCCTTGCGAAGCTCAGAGCAATCTGGAAGAACTGCACCTCATTTTCCTGCTTGGGGACTGTACAGCTTTCTGGACTCAGTCTTGAGTTCAACAGTCGTAGGGCTTGATCTACCTGCTCCCATGTCCTTACCTCAACTACCACACAACAGGTCTTGTTATGATGTCTTTAAGAACGTTCAATCAAGGGCATTACTGGTTAGACAGCATTTATTGCCCATTTCAGAGAGCAATTAAGAGTCAACCATGTTGTTGTGGGCCTGGAGTCACATGTAGTCAAGACCAGGGAAGGATAGCAGTTTCCTTCCCTAAAGGACATTCATGAACCAGATGGGTTCATGGTCATCATTAAACTCTTAACTGAATTCAAGTTCCACTATCTGCTGTGATGGGATTCAAAACCAGGTCCCCAGAACAATATACCTGGGTCCCTCAATTAACAGGCCAGCGATAATACCACTAGGCCATCAACTCCCTTTGGTTATGCTAAGGCCTCACCATTATACACCACCCATTGTTAGCCACTCACCATCCCCATTAGCAGCCATTCATTTTCCGAGGCCAACTGTTATCGACTCCTTTGTCTGTACAAATGTTTTCTCTCTTTGGGCGCTGTCTTCACATAACGTTTACTCCTTAACCCCTCCCCCACCTTACATTCTGCATACAAAACAAGTTTCTCCCAACTACCATCAGTTCTGCAGAAGGGTCAGCGGACTTGAAACGTTAGCACTAATTTCATTGAGGCTGATGGGCCTGCTGAGACTTTCCAGTGATTTCTGTTTTGTTTTATGAAGTCTCAGTGTTGGTGGTTTAAGAAAAGCACGGGGAAGTTGGATGCGGTCAAACACGATAAGCCAGTATTGCTGCGTCAAAATCCTGGAATTGCCCCCCAAGGGCGTTGTGGGTCAACCTACACCACATGGACTGCAACAGTTCATGATGGCAACTCATCACGACTTTCTCAAGAGGAACTAGGGACAGGCAGTAAATGCCCTACAATGTAATTTGATTCTGAAAGTATGTTAGCCTTTTATTATCTTCATGAAAGATTTATTCAGCTTTGGATAAGTTAATCCTACTTAACTGTAATAAAGCTGTGTTTTCTTCAAGGATATCTGAACTCCCAGCAGTCAGGTTCAAACACGAGGTTAGAACACATAACATATACCAAGGCTAGTGATAGGTGTGTCGTCTGCCAAAATTGACAGCTCCCAGCAGAGAGGGATCATGCTGTGTGTGTGTGCGTGTGCTTGTCTGTCTGTAACATTTACAGTCCCCAGCAGGGGGAGGGATCATGCTGTGACTATCTGCGCGTGTATGTGTATCTGTAATATTTACAGTCCCCAGCAGAGGGGAATCACGCTGTGACTGTCTGTGTGTGAAGGACTAATATTCACAGAGTCCAGCAGAGGGAGATTGCTCAGAGATAGTAGGAACTGCCGATGCTGGAGTCTGAGATAACAAGGTGGACAGCTGGATGAACACAGCAGGCCAGGCAGCATCAGAAGAGCAGGAAAGCTGACGTTTCAGGTCTGGACCCTTCTTCAGAAATGCTGTTGGTGGTGTGTGCCTGCTGTAATTGACACTGCCTTGAGTGTAAACATCTTTAACACAATGTGTGTCAAGCAGCTATTTCCCAGCAGTGATTATCGTTGAACTATTGATGAAAAAGTAGAACAGTCTTCTAATATCGCTTGACATATTCCTCAGAATGAAGAACATTTGTTTAATAATCTTATGTTCAATTCCATCATATACTTCTGTTAATTTTGAAAAAACGTATCCATTTGTATAATTATTGAATTGTAAACACAGTGTGTTGGAATTGTATAATGGACTTATCATGATTTGTATAAATCCCAAACTCATTAAGCTTGTTGACTGCACTTGTTCATTTTAGTTTCATTAAATTTGTGCAAAAAATCTTGCGCCCAATTATGCAAGAACTTTGTGTTCATTTGTTTACTAAACTTGCGATCATTTATGCAAAAAGTTTGTGTTCTCTTGAGGAATAACCTTCTGTTCATTTGTGCAAAAATCTTGCATTCATCTGTGTTCTAAGAATGTGTCGTGACTGCTCCGTGTTTGAACCTGCAGTTTTATGCCTGTGTGTATTCAAAGTCTGGGTCCGGTGGGGCTGGAGGGAAGGACAGGGACAGACGTGGGAAAAACCATTATCTCGCTGCTTTCTCCCACACCACAAAGCTGATTGTTGATGTGTTCCATACCTGAAGGACACGTGTTCCGGATGGAGGGAGCTGGGAACTGACTGGATGAACTGGGGTTTGGGGAGGAGATGGGCTTTGAGTGACAGACTCTGTCAGCCATTACTCTCTTGCCATGTGGAATGAGAGAATCTGTATGTTTCTGTCATACACCTTTGACCACAAGTCCATCAGGAAGTGGTCAGCACAAAGCATCCTCGAGGCCCTGCAAGAAAAGGAAAGAGTGGATTCTGTCGTGTGGTTCCCTGAGCAGACTGTCCAAGTCATTTGGCAGAATGCCTCATCACCAGAACATTCCAACAAGCACCAAGACATCACCTGGGCTGGTGGTGCGAAGGGCACTACCTGCGAGATCCTTCTTCTATGACTGGACTGCGTGCACCAGCGCATGCTGCCCTCAAAGCGGCTCTGGGCTGAATAGAGACTGTCGCATATCTCCTTCTGGAATGTGCCTTTGCAAAGGAAGCCTGGAGAGAAATGCAGTCGGTTTTTGTCAAGGTTCGTCCCGAGCAGCTCTATGATATAGGACTCTGTGCTCTATGATCTGCTCCTTGGGACACACCGGGGAAACATCGACCGTGTCTTGAGGACCATCAACTCAGTGAGAGACGCTCTTTGGGTCTGCCCGAAACTTGTTGGTCATCCAGAGCAAGGAGTTAACCCCGAACGAATTTTGCAGACTGGCACACTCCAAGGTCCAGGACTATGTGCTGGGGAACATAACAAAGCTTGGGGCAGCAGCTGCCAAGGCACAGTGGGGAAAGATCACCGTCTAATGTCTTTCTGCCGAAGGTAAATGGGGGTCCTTTCAGTTATCGGAACCTTAGGATACCTCAAATATATGTAAATATAACCGCACACAATTAAGAGATGCCTTCGGTTTGTTCAGTGCATAGAGTTCAACTGCAATGTTTGTTTTATCTCCTTCCTATTCTATTGCGCAGAAACGAAATGCTTAAGCAACTATGGATGGACATACGTATACTTTTTTTGAACAAAGTATATATTTGAAATAAATAAAATCCTTCCTTAGATATGGGACTGAAAACCGCTCACAATATTCCGAATGCTTTATACAGCCTGAGCAGTACATCCCTGCTCTTCTATTCTAACCCTCTCAAACTAACACAAATATGTCATTTGCCTTCCTAACTGCCAACTGAACCCTGTT